GGCAGGTGTCTGGTTCGCAAATCAGACCCTATCCAACTCGTGTGCTACGGTTGCTCTAATGAACATTGTCAACAATCACGCGACGATTAACCTAGGTCAAACGCTCAACAATTTTCGAGCAAACACAATGGAGATGACGCCCAAGGAACGAGGCCTTGCCCTAGATCGCTTCGACCATGTCCGAGACGTTCACAACTCTTTCGCCACGGAATTTGACAAGATGAACGTCGATCTTCGTCTCAAACAGGACATGGCTGCGGCCGACAAGAAGAAAAAAGCAGCAATGGCAAAGCGCCCACGGAAGAAACTTAAAGCAGAAGACGAATCTGATGAGGACGAGAGCGGTCTCCATTTCGTCGCGTACGTGCCCGCTGGAGGAGTGGTATGGAGAATGGACGGGCTAGAACGGCTTCCACGGAAGCTAGGCACGGTGGATGATGGAGATGGCTGGATTGCGACGGTGCTCCCTGAGCTTCAGGCTCAACTCGAGTCCGCCACGACCAACTCGTTGGAATATTCGTTGTTGTCTTTGACGGCATTGAACGATGCTTGGGGCTTGGAGGCGGACAAAGTGAAAATGGATAGAGCGCGGGAGGATTGGGGCCCGTTCCTGGCGCAAATGGTTAGGATTCATGCTGAAAAGGGTACGTTGAGACAGTCACTGGCTAACTAGTTTGGAGAGTGTCCTCTTTACCAGACAGTTAGGAAGTGTCTTATCGTTTCCTCGAAGCCAGGATCAGGATCTACAAGTAGTCTGTACTGCCCGGTCCATATTCGGGTGGAGATGAAGGGACGTACGAGCCGTCGGCTGTGCTTTGATTGGCTGGCTCTGGGCGGGCGTCATGACGTGTAAGTTTCCCCGTATTATGTAATATCTCAGTCTCGTCTCAGTCTCCCGCTCTGGCTCTCTCACTCTTCCTTTATCCTCCACCACATATCACCCACATCAACATTGACAGATACACCACGCCATCGTATCCTCATTCATGAAGATAACGTGCATGCACATCACTCTTGTGTCTACCCAACGACATAGTGCGCAATGAGCTCGCCATTTACCCAACTCCCCGACGAGGTTATCCAGGTCATATTGTCATACTTACCGTTTGACAGCAACATTGCTCTGCAACAAACCTGCCTCCGCTTTGCAAATGCCGCCAATGAGCCACTTCTGTGGAAGAAATACTGCCAGGACTCATTTAGGTGGTGGGACCGCCGACATCGCTTTGCGGCGACGCTTCGGGATGGATCCTTTGCCGGGTGGAAGGACTTGTTCGGAAAGCGCCACAGAACATCCAAGACCACTCGAGAAGCCATTGACAAAATCGTCATCGAAGAGCTCGGCCGAATTGACTCGATGAAGGTCATCCTGGAGGCTGGCTACGACGCCAAGGACGATTTGTTCGATATGTTCTGGAACGCGTCCTCTTCTCCGAACCATCTCGCCCAGAAGTTAGTGTGTATCCGAGCCCGTATTGCGGCCATGCTTCTGACCTTTCTGCAGATACTGGAGTCACGCAGCTCTAGGTTGTGTGCAGAGACTGGTAGCGGTCGAGGAATGGACTGCCATCAGAGCTGCCGGGAACTACGAGAACGCGGTTGAACGATCGCTCGCGGCTTACGATATGTTTATCCTCGAAGAACGACCAGAGGGGGACATCTCCGATGTGAGTGGTTCACCATACCACGTTCTTGCTGCCATCACACTAAATCCCGTCTCAGATCCTTGCTCGGCTAGACTCCTACGTCGTCTCCGTCCGGGAGGCTCATCCCACCATCGACCAACTGCCGCCGCGGAAGAGGGCGAGTGTCATCGCCGAGCATTTGCTAGAGAACAAATGGGTAGGGATCCAGGATAATCGACACTACCACAGCCTAGATCATATGTTCCTCGGAGTATCTCTGTTCAGCACAAACAGAAACTCGGTCCCACTCATCTCGGCCGTCATCTTCTGCTACGTCGCTCGGCAGTTCAACCTGCGCGCCGAGCCTTGTAGCTATCCTTTCCACGTCCATGCACTAGTGCAGCCTCCACCAGGGTTCGATCTTGATGGCCATCGTCTCCCAGAATCTTCTAGTCCAGCACCGTCTGGCCTGACACACCTGTACATGGATCCATTCAACAGCTCAGAACCCATTTCCCGATCGAAGTTGGAGACACAACTCAAATTCATTAACTCTAGCGCAACGGCAGCCCAAGCTGCCACTTATCTGTCTGCGGCGTCTGCCCGGGACCTCTCAGTTCGAACTGCACACAACATCATATCTTCACCGTCTCACGACCCCGACCCACCGCTACATCCTATCAACGCCAACCTGGCTGCCTATGCAGCTTTATTTTCCCTCGTTATTCTCGCACCCCATCCGATCAGGCACCCGGCCCACTTACGCCAACATCTCTCCGTCCTTACCCAGCACTTTCTCGAATATTTCGACCTAGATATTTATCTATACGAAACCTACATCCTACCGCTTGCATATACTCTACCTGACTCCCGTGCTTACCGCAATTTAATCTCCCAACTCAAAGAGTCGGATCAGGAGTCACGCCCGCCCAAATACCGGTCTGATCCTCGCAACTCAGCAGTGAAATACAGTGTGGGGCAGGTCTTTACCCACCGCCGTCGTGGTTATTGGGCCGTGATCTACGGTTGGGACCCCTACTGTCGCATGCAAGAGCAGTGGATCACCATGAACCAAGTCGATCGCTTGCCCAATGGGAGGAATCAACCCTTTTATAACGTACTCGTGGAGGACGAGTCGACGCGCTATGTGGCGGAAGAGAACGTGATGCTGTTGTCTGCCAGTGACATCACGGAGGATCGTATCAATGCTTTCCCCATCGAGATTGGGAAGTGGTTTAAACGATATGATGCCGAGACGGGGACTTTTGTGAGTAACGTGAGGTATGAGTATCCAGAAGATTGACAGCGGAATGGCAAAGAAGAATGGGAATCTACGAGGGTGGGTGGTATCAAATGTTGTGGCAACAGAAGTATGAGGTAACTGATAGTGTCCAAAGAGACTAACGGAGGAGGGGAAATGGCCCTCGTTGGTCGTCTTAAGCGGCTTTCCGTGCTCATCGATCTCCGGTTGGATGAGTTTTAAGACATCAGGAATATCGGCTTCGTGGGAAAGCGATCAGACGAGGCAATCGATGGAGTGATACCGGGAGATATCATTAACCACATACGTTTATGATTTTGGCGGAGACAAATGGGAGAGTTCGGTGCCCGCAGGCGTCTTGGCTGGAATCTGGCCTTGGGAAAGAGAGCATGGCCAGTAAGTGTGAAGGGTTGCGCTGTCGTCCTTGTGGATTTGCTACGGCATAACCCCGAGGCTTCAGTTACCCAGTCGACTATCGGGTATCCGGTCCATTCCTACAGAATGCAAAGAAGGTGGTCTGCACACCATTTTGAATCCTTGTCATGTGGATCATCGACTTTCACCACGATCTTGTCTATGGAGGACATGGATGACATGTCTCAAGGTATTGCAGTCTACCAGAATCCCGTCCACGCGATTGATCCGACCGTTCTTTGGGATGAATTATCAGCGCTCTCTTCCTTGGGTTTATGCCCTCATTCGCCGGGTATCGTCCTTCCTACAATATCCACCCAGCGAAGCCGACTATAGCTCCGACAAAGGAACCAGTGATGAGGTCGTTGTTCTGGAAAGGAGGTCAGCATGGGGTCACGGCTGATGAGTTGCGGAGACTTGCCTTGCCGATGACACCAGCGTTGGAGGAGCTGCTTGCTGTTGTGCCTGAGTCGCCGGTCAAGGCAGTGGTAGGCGTGGCACTGGCCGAGGCGGGCGTCGTCTGCGCAGCATTCGCATTGGCGGCAGCAAACTGGTCGAAGCAGGCGGAGGACGTGGCCTGCGCGCAGCACGAGTCAACGCGGGATTGGCCGAGGCTGGTGCAGAATTGGCACACGCCGTCAACCGCCACTTGCTCAAGCTGGGTCGACTCGCTGGGGGAAAGGTCAGTCAGCGCCGGCAGACCGTGGAGATAGTTCGTGCAGATGGTAAAGTAAGGAATGGCGCTGGTGTCGGTCGGGGTGGGCGCTACAGTGGCGCCGATGAACTGAGAGAAGACGGACGAGTCGGCCTGGACGGGTGCGAAGGGCGCCAACACGGCCAGGCAGAGGAGAGCTGCTGAATAGAAGGACATGATGATAACAGAGGGGAAGTCTAGTCACGGTTTCCGGGAGGAAGACTTTCGATGCTTGTCACAGCGGCGGGAGAGGGTATCCAAGTTGACCTTGCCAATGAGACCAGACCAGAACGGACAGCCTCGCCATATATAAAGATTATCAGGAGTGGCATCGGAGGACAAGGGGCGGCTGTCTCTCTCTCCGTGCTGTAGCTATGGCCTGTTCAGGACATTGCATTGCACAAATGGCCCCCACAAACCTACACATGTACTTAACTATGATCGGTCTACTGCAAGCGTCCTCCAATCTCATGCTCTTTGGCTCAGCACAGGATCGGAGCGTGGTGTGAAACTGCCACAGCGACGCCACAGGGGCAATAAGCGCAGACGACAATTAGCGACTGTGTGTGTTACCGCAGATCGCCAGCACGCGAGAGATCTTGGCACGGCTTGTTTGATATAGGAGGGTAGAGAGTTGCTCGTATTCGCAAGTACGGAGTATCATAGAAATTTCAAAAAGCGAAGTTCTAGAAACCTTCTCCATCCCCGGCGACCAGGTTGATTGACATGGTGGAGATTATCTCGAGGCTGTCGTTCCGCCCGAACCGTCGCTTCTCCTCGTTGTCTCGAGACTATCTAGGACTCGCCAGAACCTACATGCCCAAGTACCTAGGTATGTATTAGGCACCACTTTTCCTTTCCCACATTTCCCACTATCCCATTCATCACAGCCTGAACGGAGTTCCTCCTAAGCGCCAAAGCACACTCTACCTTCGTCTTTTATTATATTCCCCCTATCCACAAAAAGAGAAAACAGAGAGAGAAAAAAAAGAGAAAAAAAATAATAATGACCACGGCCAACTCCCAAGGGGAAACGCCATGGCACGCCCACTTCCCCGCCCCGCGAGAGACGGACCCCAAAACCATCACGCGCGAAGACCTGCTGAAGCGCTTTGAGCAGGGTCAGAGCGGAGGGCGGGATTTCCTGCTCGTGGATCTGAGGAGGAATGATCATGCGGTATGGACCTTCCCTTCCCTTTCTCCTTTTTTTTCCCTTGTCTATGCGGTTCTTTGGGGCATTTTTGTCCCCGGGGAAGGGGTGGATTTGTGAAGGAAAGAGAATGAGTGGGAAGAAGTGGAAGAAGTAGACGAAGCGGAGAGGAAATAATCTCGCTCCCAATCTCAGGCCCGTGGAAGAAAAGTGGGCGGGTAGGTAGATGGTCGGTTGGGGCGACGATACAAATGTACACGGCGCGCACTTGGGCGGCTGCATCGACATGAAATGGGGAGAGACGGAAGTGCTCGAGGGAATCCCTCTGATTCTACATATTCATGCTTTCATTCAAATTCCTTCCCGTCCTCAGTCAGCCCTCGAAATCAACACAACTCTAACACAAAATCCCCCCACCATTGTTGTATTGCAGGGCGGCACCATCAAGCACTCCATAAACCTCCCCGCACAGACGCTCTACCCCTCGCTCGCGACGGTGTACAACCTGTGCACATCCTCCCAAATCCCGCTGGTGATTTTCTACTGCGGGAGCTCGCGCGGGCGCGGGAGCAGGGCCGCGGGCTGGCTGGCCGATTACATCGCAGACGCCAACGAGAAAGCGCGAACGTCCGGGCCGGTACTCGAGAGTGTGATTCTCAAGGGTGGGATCAAGGGGTGGGTGAATGGTGGGGAGGAATATACGCGGTGGATGGACGGGTTTGAGGAGGAGGTGTGGAAGAAAGGAGATGATGCGCAGTGAAGGGAGGGAGGGATGGATGGAATATGCAACTACGCACATACAATCATATTATATATAGTCTGTGAGTGGTGTCGAAACTGCACAGAAAGGCCCTGCCTATCCCTAACGATATCTCCGTTGTGGAAACCCCCTTCGAACTTCCATCTTATTTGACGTCCGGGAGCCCGCCGTTGACAGTCCCGCGAGCCTGTCTCAGACGCTCACGTTCTCGCTGCTGTTCATACGTCTCATTCAGGTTCTGTTCCCTGACGAGACCGATGGTCGTACAATGCTATCGGGCGCCTTCCTCACGAGGATATGATCGCCCTTGATCTCGTCAAAGAAGCCCCTATCCAACCCGACCCGAGCGGCGAACTGTTCAAAATCCACGCTGCCCCTTTCCAAGCCCACACCGCTCACATGTCCCTCGCCGATCTCGACCAGCACGGGCTTGCCGAGGATCTCGTCGCGGCAGCTGAGGGTCCATATTCTCTGGACCAGGCTGACGAGCCGCTGCTGGAATTCTCCGTAGGGATATTTATGCGAGAGGCGCGAGAGGCGGAGGAGACGGGTCTGAGACGAAGACGGAGGAGCGAAAAAAGAAACGGTGTCGGCGGCGATGGAAAATTCGTGCAGAGTGTCAATGCGGAGATGTGTCCAGTCCGGGAGCTCGGCATCGGGGCCACTACTCTCCAGTGATGAGCGGAAGAGGTTGTTGACCATCTCTGCCGTTTCGTCGTCGTCGGGAGCTGGAAGAGCATCGCCGTAGAGTGACGTGTCGAAATCGACATCGAGATCGATGTATCCCCACGCAAAACAGTCCTCGAGCCTGGGGAGACACTCTGCATCCCCATCTTGGCTTCGCCGCTGCAACATCTCGAGACTCGCCTGGAGCATGAATTCGCACGCGACGTCCATCCAGATGTCGCTCGGGCCCTGCTTGATTGCCTCCATAAATCGTGCCGAAATGGCCATGAATCGAGGCAGCAATGACAGGAGTAGAGGTCCTGTTGTGTATTCAGAGGCAGAAGACGCATAGTTTGGATTTGTGCCGGTCCATGCAGTGTATATTTGCTGCTCCAAATCCCAGGCCCTGTAGGCTTCACAGCACCTAGCAGGCCTCTTACCCAGTTTCCGGCAATCCCGCTCGCGACCGGCGAGCCATGTTCGACGAGCCTGTAGGTCACTCTTTGCGTACCCACTGAGCATCGAGGACAAGTCGTCCGCGGGACGATCCATAGCAATGACTGAAGAGCAACGGCACAATAGCAGGACGACGAATTCCAGAATCTGCAGCCTGAAACTGAACTCGGGAGACTGCTCGTGAGAGGGATGGCTCTGGTTGAAAATCTCTATAAAGGAATCGAAGATGGCGAGCACGCGCTGGAGCCCGTGGATTTTGCCATCGTCGTCCTCGAAGCCGCCGGACAAGACACCCAAGTGAACCTCAACCGCCTGGAAGAGCGTGTACTCCAGCACCATGAGGTCCACGTCGAGTTGCAGCTCGGAATCTGCGCAGCGAGTGTCCATCGCTTATCTCAGCCGACAGAGTTCCAATCATTGAATTTATTCCCAGGAATACTCGAAGTTGGAATGAGTCGTTACCGAGTGCGTGCGAGCTCCCTCAGTCGCTGCAGACGGAGATGCGAGAGACGATCGCTGCGTCATCCCCCTGATGCGGCGGCGCGCTTGACGACGGACCGTAATATCGGAGACCGCAAATGGTTCGACGGCTCATGCTTCTGTAGAACAACAGAAGAGATGAAGACGACAATCGAAATATTATGGTGGAAGGGCACGCCTCGTTTCCGCGGGCTGGGTATTTTCCTTGACCGCCACTCACTCGTCAACAGCACAAGTCTCTCCCAGGCACCACCAAACGAAAGAGAAGACGTCGAGTCGGAAAGACTAGATGTGGAGCTACAAATAGACAATATCTTAATGTATTCCACTCTCTAGCTCAAAGACGCCATCGCTATGCAACAAGACCGGGGTATATCTTCTCTACGTGCAGTCATGGGGAGCCTCGCCAGAGACCCAAACACAAGTCATAAAGACATCATCATCTCTTTTTTCCCTTTCCACCCTTGACTCCTTTGACTTGGGCAATCGGGGCGGCATGGTTTTTCTCCTTGATGTGGTTGAATAACCGCGTCTTGGATGGAAACTCGGCCTTGCACACAACACACTGAAATTCTGCCACAGCCTTTTCAGATTGCTCAGCTGCCTTCTGCGCAGCCCTCCTTGCTTTTTTCTGCTTCGCTTTGCCGATTTTTGGCTGTGCTGTCGCCTCAGGGTCGGAAGTTAAGGGTGTGCCTGACAGACTGATATCGTCAAATGCTGCAGAGACTTTGTCCATGGACTCTTCTCCCAGGCGCCGCTCAATGTCCGATCTGGGAGCATAATCATCATCCTCTGAAGCCTCAGATGTCTCATGGCCTTCCTCCGCTTCTGCGGTTCCATTTACTTGTAGCTGGACCTCTGCGTTATCTGTCTTGTCTTCAGGAACATCGGTCTTGCCACGGGGCGAGTGAGCCCGCTCAAGGTGGACTTCGTCCCCATCAGTGACCACATGCTCGTGCTCTGGGGCTCTGTGCTCATTCTCCAGATCCAACTCTACGCCTTCCTTGCGCATTTCCTTTTGCAGTTGCTTTAACAGCTTGATATGCTTTTTGCTCTTCTCGTGAGCCTTGAATTGAGCCTCGCTCTTAAAAGTCTTGTCGCAGACCACACAGTCATACTCGTGTTCCTCAACCTCGGACTCGCTTGAGAATCCCCCTTCATGTTCATCTTTCGCCCTTGACTTGGCCCATTCGGCTATTGCCTCAGCACCAGTGGCGTCAAATTTCGCCTGTTGTGCTGCTCTTGATCGTGCCGATTGTGCCGCGGTAGCCTCTCGAAGGGCTTTTTGCCGTTCAGCTTCGGACTTCTGGTTGTTTTGAACGCGAGGGTCACGTTTTCGGACAAAGGCGACCAGAGAACGGACTGCTTCGTTGTATTCCTGTATAGCCTCGTCCCGGATCTTCTTGTTCTCTTTCTCCATCAGCCGTCTTATCCTCCTATCCGGCGCATCTGATAACTTGTATTGGTCTTTCCAAGAATAACTCTTTTTGGTGGCAAACCCGTTCCACGCGGCATAGAAAGGGCGGACAACATCCTCATAATCGTCGTCCTTAAGCCCAAACTCGGGATACTCCACTGGATCTTCGTTCCCCCATTGACAGGCAGCGTCCTCCTCTTTCGCAAGCTGCTTGAAGAAGTCGTTCAGTCCACCATAGAATCCACTAGGGGCGTTACTATATTCCAATCGACCATTAAATTTCATCATCAATTTCAACACTTCCTCCGTCGTTGTCATCCGAATGTTGTAGAAGAACTCATCTGCGCCTGGGCCAGCTGCCTGGTCTCCGCGTAGGAGGATATCTCTGTGAGAGTCATACCAAGCACGCTCTTGCGGATCGGAGAGGACTTCGTAGGCAGACTGGATCTCGGCGAAAAGTCTCGTAGTCTCTTCGACGTTGCCATAGTTTCGGTCAGGATGTAACTCGAGGGCCTTGCGACGGTATGCCTTCTTGATTTCCTCGTCGGTCGCAGTTCTTTCGACGCCTAGGAGATCGTAATAGTCGGCTTTGGCTGGGCCTTGATCTTGGGGAGCGCTGCCAGAGGATTGCCGTTGACCCATGGCTGGGGGAGGGAGAAGGTTCTCCGTTATCCAAAAAAGTGGTTCAATGGACCGAATCCATTCAGAAATCGACAAGCGTCACCGCACGACACCGGACGCCTCCACAACTACTCGAGCACTTGAGCCGCCGATGACGGAGGAATTTGGCCGGCGAAATTGTGGAATGGATCTCAAGCCTTGTCAGGAACTAGATACAGTAGGTCTTGGTGGGTTATTCATGCGCCATTTAATTCTGGCCTTGGCAGCCTCGCTTAAAGCGCGCCTCGCCTAAAAGCGCAAGGCTGGATCGAGGATGTGTCACGTGTGGATATTGCTTGGCCAATTGCGCGCCACGGCAGTGAAAACTCTGACGTCGACTTTCGGATCTTTGATTTCGCTGGCTCCACGCGACGCAGTCTGCGCAGTCTGCGCAGTCATCTGTCACCTAAGAACATCCTATGGAACGCAGTCTTTTCTCTCCCCACGGTTCTTACTTCCGACAAATCCCATATATGGCGCGTGGCAATTTTAACGGTCTGGGGTTGCGCCAGCAAAAAGAGTATTAATGTGTCTCCTCCCCCCCACGAAGTGGGCGCACGTCCGAAGATGGAAAATAAGCACGCGACAACTGCTACCACTTCTTTCGCAACCTTGATTTCTCATTCAACCGTCTCCTCTCCTCTATCTTTAGAGAATGCCTCACGATGAAGTTCGGCCAGGACTTTGAAGCGGCCCTCGCTCGCGGCGAGTATCCTCCTGACTGGGTGAACTCGGCCATCTCTTACAAGAAGCTCAAGAAATGCATCAAACGTGTGCAACAGGAACTTCTGAGCCTGGGGCTGGATAAAGACACCCTTGACGCCCTGTGGAAGCACGTTGGCTCCACTGGTTCGGACCTGGACGGCCGTACAACTGATAGCTTGCTACAATATACGGTCGAGGACGGTGAAAGGGTCAGCTTCACACCCAAGCTGACAATCGTCGTGGACCCTCGTGATGGCTCTCCTATGGACGCATGGTTGAGTCCCGACACTCGAAGGATTCTACGACGTCTTGCCAGGTCCTCAAACCCTCGCATTGATCGCGCCGAGGCCCAGGAGGAATCTCCAAGCGGACAACCCAGATTACCTGGCGATCATGACCCTGTGTGGACCATTGCGGCCGACGAGAGTGGAAAATCATTGAACAATGAACAGCAACATTTAGACACGGTGGAAGTGCCTTTGACTGCAGATTCTGAGTTCTTTCAAACACTACGTCGGGAATTGACCTGCCTAGATGACCTGCAACAGGCAGAGGACGCACGTCTCCGAGAAGAAATCACTCGGCTAGGCAGCGAACTCCGGGCCCTACGAGCAAGTAATTCAAAACGATCTAAAAAGGAGGTCGAAGCATGGCGAAAGATTTTCGAACTCTACTCCGACGCCGAAGTCTTCCTGTCCTCTCACGAGGCCGATGCAGGTGCCCGAGATGCGGCACATGCTCAAAACCAATTTCAACTTTTTAGCCAGTCTCTAGCGGCACAACGGAAGAAGGATGTCCTCAAGCTTGGAAAGGAAGCCGATGGCGCTTTGTCTCGCTTCCTCCAGATCAACGTCAACCTCCTGCGGCTAATCAAGTTCCAAGAAATCAATCGCACTGCTCTTAACAAGATCATGAAGAAATTCGACAAGCGCACGGCTCTACATGCGAAATCCTCGGTGGCACGATCACTTACAAAAACCTCTCCGTTCATGGTCGAGGATTTGGCCAAGGCCACGTGCTTCACCATTTCGGAAGAAGTATTGAGAATTATCCCACAGCTCAATGATTACCTGTGCCCGATATGTTTCAGCATCTCGTGGAGACCCATCAGATTACGGTGCGGTCACCTATTTTGTATCCGATGTATGATTGTTCTGCAAAGGGAGGAGAAAGATCCCTGTCCTCTATGTCGAGAGGAGGTCGTCATGGAGGCCACTGAAAGTAAGTCATCCCCATTCAATTGTGCCCCTGTGAAATCTGATCTGACTATTTCCACCAGAAAACATCGACAAAGAAATGGTCCAATTCCTCAAAGCCAATTTCAAAAATGATGTGAAAGAGAAGCAGAAGCAAAACGAGATCGCAGCCGGAATTGATCAGTGGGGGGCCGCGTACGAGCATGCTCAGATGCAGAGATGTGTTGTCATGTGACAGAGGCCTGCTATGATTATGCCACCTTTGTGTCATGCTTCTTGTCTATACCCATCACCAGCGCACGGTCATGCCTATGAGCAATTGATAAATAATTATAATGGTTATATCCAGCGCCGAGACCGCTTTGGCAAGAACGCCTTCTGTGAACCTTTCCATCTGCCAAGGTGCCTTTCTCTCTGGAATATGGCTTCAGCTGAGGCGCGTGTTGAACTGCTTCTGTACTCCGCTATCAGCGCCGAGGCGCCCACTGGAGAATGATTTGGCTAATGTGATCGAGTTGAGGATGACAATAGCGATATACGATATGGAGTACTGAAATAATACTCGGTACATGGCTCCAAGGCCCCTGGGTTTCCGGTTCTTGGCGTCAAAGTCGGTCAAACAGGCCCGGAAGTACCGCCGTATCAGGATGATCTCTAATACTATTATCGCCGGTGGAAGTGAAATGCTTTCAAACTACCATCATTATTATTGACCCCTTCATACCAACTCCTTCCGACCCGGTTCACTACGTTCGCACAATACTCAAAGATCTTGATTTCTAAGCAATAGGTCCAATTATCGAGGTCCATGTGCAGCATAAGTAGACGTCGTGAGCACTCGTCTTGGGTGGCGGTTTGGTTCATCCATATTCCGGCAAGTCTTCAGACTTGAATTTCTTGATTACCAAAATGCCATCTAAAACAGTCTT